GCTCCCCCCGCGTGCCTGTTTGGGCTTCGACGAACGATTGTTGTCCATGGCACTAGTCCGCATGGGCGTCAAGGAACACCTTCGGGGTGACGCGAAGGACGCGGTTGCCCAGATGTTCTTGGACGCAGGCGGGGAGCATTCGCTTGCGAGGGAAGCGTCGTTCGCAGAGGTGGAGAAAGGGCAGCTTGCAGAGATCGAGTGCCATGTGTTGATGTTGGCGCACAGCGATTCTGGCCTCTGGCGATAATTCGCAGCCTCTGGCGCGAACCAGCATGGGGGGCGGCCGTTGGGGCGGCTGCTGGGGGGCGATCAGCATTGCCTGATCATGTCTGCTGCAATTGCGCGGGCTCGAGCAGCGGCGGCATGTGTAGGGCCGCTTTCAAGAGCTGGGCGTCGGCAAACGCAGCGCATGCTCGAACCTGCCAGGGAAAACTGAACCCGGTCAGTTTCTCACAGTGCTTGTTTCTTGCGTCGCACTTCTGCTGGATACGTTTATCGGAGACGGAGCGAGAAGCCATTTCTGCTATTATTATTACAACTATCACCACCACAATTGCTACTAGTAGTACAATTGTTTCCGCTTCGCGAATCCCCGCCAGTCCATTCAGAAGCCCTTCCCATGAGAGCTGACGGGCAATGGAAAAAAGAAACACATATAGTGAAACAGAGCGGACAAGGAGAGGAGGGGGAGGAGGGTGTCGAGCCATCTTGGAGGCTATCTTGGAACACAGGAGGCTTTCTTGGAGCTATGGGGCACTTTTGGGGGTCTCAGGGATCTCTCGGCCCTCTTTTGGGGCATCTTGGGGCCCCCTTGGGGCTCTTTTGGGGCATCTTGGGGCCCTCTTGGGTTTTTTTTTTTTTGGGGGGGGGGGGGTCTTGGGGTCCTCTCGGGGCTCTTTTGGGGCATCTTGGGGCCCTCTTGGGGCTCTTTAGGGGTCTTGGGGCCCTCTTGGGGCTCTTTTGGGGCGTCTTGGGGCGGCGCTCCTGGGGCCTCCTTGGGGCTCTCTTGGGCCTCTCTTGGGGCCTTCTTGGGGGCTATGGAGCGCCTCCTGGGGCCATCTTGGAGGCCATCGATCAAAAAGGAGGGGGGTCCCCGATTTGTCTCCCCCCTTGGGGGGCCACCGGAATCGCATCTTGGGGCGCTCTTGGGGCCCTCTTGGGCCGCTCTTGGGCGCTCTTGGGGCCGTCTGAGGGCCTCTTGGGCCGCTCTTGGAGCTCTCTTGGGCCATATTGGCGCCATCTTGAGGCCTCAAAAGCGCAGCGGAGGCGACAGGGCGAGAAGGCAAACATCATTGATTTTCTTCAGGTGTTTGAAGGAAATTGCTTTCTCGGGGAGGTCCTGACGGGTCTCCAAAAGCACCTGGGACCGTCTTGTGGTCCTCTTGGGGCCTCTTGGAGGCATGTTGTTAGCTATCTTGGGCCATGTTGGGCTGTCTCGACCGATATTGAAGGCCATCTTGGGCTCTCTGAGGCCCTCTTGGGGCCATCTTGGGCCGAAAAGGACCCCCTGACACATCGCGACCGCCCCCGTCCAAGTCCAGGGGAGGGGGTATGGGGGAGGGGTAAACCCCTCCCGAAGGGGAAAAGGGGGTTTTGGAAGAGGGAATAAAGATCTCGTTGGACCGCCTGTCGCCCAAAGGGATGGCGGGATTTCGAGTCCCAGCATTACTATCATGATTATTGTTTCTGCTATCAAATTTCACTGATCAAATGGTGACGCTATTGGCGTTTATACGATCACAAATGCATCCCCTACACCTCTATCATCCGCGCCGCTACTGCGATTGCAGCTACTACAATTATTACGGCGGCGACGGCGACGGTGACGGCGACGACGACGGCGGCGCCGATGCTTATTGCGATGATTTTGGCCTTGGTGGACCGGTCAGCGCAGTCTTATCCGCAATTGCGGGGTGCTTCGGTATATATATATATATATATATATATATATATACACACACACACAAGTGGCACGTGTGTGCAGGCTGATACAAAAAAACTTAAGGGGCGTTTGAAGCAGGAGTGAAATGCAACAGCGAAGTCGCACTCGAGCGCAAGTGTGGTTGCCACACCTTGCGATGTGTGTACCAGGGCCCCCCAGGAAGCCTCAGGAGGCCCGACTTGGATACCAGAAGAGGCTCCAGGAGGCCCCAGGACTGTGAATGTTGTGTGTGTATGTGTGTGATGTGTGCTCAGAGTTGTGCGTGTTTTTTGTGCGTTGTAGGTGTTGTGTGTGTTATGTTTGTCTAGCGTGTGATGTGTTGGGCGTGATTTGTGTCTCTGTGTGTGCATGTAGTTCTGAGGCCCCAGTAGGCCCCAGTAGGCCCCAGGAGGCCCCGGGCGGACTCAGGAGGCCCCAGGAGACCCCAGGAGGCTTCAGGAGGCCCCAAGAGGCTCCAGGAGGCCGCAGGAGGCCCCAGGAGGTTTCAGGAGACCCCCAGGAGGCTGCGAGGCCGGGTCTTGGCTACCAGAAGGTTCAGGAGGCCCCAGGAGGTTCCGGGAGGCCCCCAGGAGGTTCCGAGGCGGGGTCTGGGGTACCAGAGGGTACGTCGGGGCTCGATTTTGGGAGGATGTTTCAGGCGAAACCGCAATTCTCTGAGAATCGGGGTCGAAATTATTGAAATTACAATGTGTTTTTTGAAGGTTTTATGTTAACATGTTGAAATTCCCATGTGTTTTTGGACCCTGACGTCACGATCTGCGTGAGGGGTGCCACCGATTTTCAGAATTTCGAGCTGGCAGTAGAAAGGGCTGGCAGGTTTGAGGTTCTGAACTCGGGGTGTGTTTGTTGTTTTCTGTTCCTGCCTGTGGGGACCGTTTTCGGGCCCTGGGACCTTGAAACATTGTACATGGGTGAAATTGCACCATGCCCGAGAAGGGTAGGGGGCAGATTTTGAGCGGATATATTTTCCCCCCCCCTTGACCTTTTTTTCTCGGGTCCCAATCAGTTCAGATACCCCGGCCGCCTGCAACTCCCCTCCTTTGCTTCCGTATTCTTCCAATCCATCCTCTTCCTCCTTGTCACCCCCCCCCTCCCTGCTCCCCCAATCTTCCTTACCCTTCCTGGCCCGCACATTTGGTACCCCATTCCTCTCCACTCATCCCTCATGGTGTCGCCGTTGCTCCAGGTCCTACTGCTGGTGATGTTGCTGATGCTGTTCGTACTCGCATCACCCTCTGACTATTTTTTGTCTTAGTCGTCCTTGTGTTCCATGTCCTGCTATTCCTACTCGCATTCCTCCATGTCCTCCATGTCATCCGCTTCCTCCTCCCTCAATCCTCCCTCCCCTCCTCCCTCTCTGTCCTTCGTCATTCCTAACGTTTCCATCCTGCTTCCCCAATTTCCCTCACCAACACCACGGCCTGCGCCACCTGGCCGGGAGGGAAGCGGGAGGAGGAGGAGGAGGAGGAAGTCAGAGGAAGATGCAGAAGAGGAGGAGGAAGAGGAGGATCAGGATCCAGACACTCCCTTCCATTCCTCCCTTCCCTTCTTTCTTTCGCTACTCCTCGGTCCCCTGCCCGCTGCCTACGCCTCGCACCTCGCTGGGTGGGGAGGACACCCCCCGGATCCACTCGGCGTCGTCGGTCCTGAGCAGCGGTTTGCAGCGCTGTTCGGCGACGGAGTGAGCCTGGCGCGGGGTCACTAGGTGCTGGCGGTAATCCGTCAGCCTCTGTTACTGCCAGAAGCTCTGCGAGCTTACCTTCGGTACGTATTGTTTCGGACTGCTGTTGTACCAATCTCGTCGCCCGCGCGATTACAGACGCGTGTCCCAAATAATATGAGCGACGCAACAACGGGATCGTTTGCTCCGACACTGGCGAGTTAGATGCCCGCGTAAGGTCGCGCGTAAGCGCCCTCGTCTCCAACGCAGCGTGCCGCGCCAGCGGCCCGCGTAAGCTGCGGCGTAAGTTCGCTACGTCATCTCACGTAAGACCCGTTTTGGATCGTCTCCTCGCGCAGGCAGACCTTCCTCCCCAACAGGGTCCGAGCAAACAGGGTCGGAGGATCGCGCCGCATCGGTGATGCAACGGTGATGCGCGATGCGGCTCGATGTGGATCCCGGTTTTTCTCCACACTGGCGTTGCCGATGTGCTGCCGACGTCGCTGATGCATCGGCGATGCATCGGCGATGTGCTGTGACCCTCCGATCCCATCTTCGCGGACCCCATCTGGGAGACCTCCAGGCCCTCGGATAAATGTGTGGATTGTGGGGGAAGTTCAGCATCACACACACGGTCATACGCACGCACACACACATGCGCACAAAGTCGTAAGCACAAGTTTTCAGAGGCCCGCGCGGATGTCTTGGGTCGGCGCTGGGCCGTGGGGCCGAAGAGCAAGAGGGTGTATTGAATCGAAGCCCTGGTGCGCTCCTCGTGCCAGGGAGGGGGTGTAACGCCAACCCGAGACATCCACCTGGGGCGCAGAACGTTCATGAGTATCACATGTTGCTCCTCCTGCGGGCACGCGTACAACTCGGAGGAGGAGGGGGAGAAGGGTCAATTCTTTCCCATGTCTCACTCACTCACTCTCTTCTCTCTCTCTCTCTCGCGTTTCATTTCCCGAGAACGAATATGCGCGGCGCCAAGGCGATGGCCCCATTTTGAGACAGAGCTGTTTGCTGCCAGCTTTCAAGACGTATGGTCGTTGCGCTCAGGCGAGGGCTACATGTTGAAAACGTTGTGTGCCCAAGCATTGTAAGCGTCGTGCACCTTCACAACGAATGTGTGCAGCGCTAATGTAAGCGTCGTGCACCTCCCCTCGCGTCTTGAGCCAAAACGGTTGCGGCAGCAATCCGTTCTGGCCCGGAATCGGGTTACAAAGCTGTTCCCAATTGGTATCCCATTCGATGGGATAAACGACTGTGTTAAACTACCTTCCCGGGGAAGGGGTTAACCCGAACGCCCCTCCTTGGCCGCATCCTGTCTTCGCAGGACAGGCCACGCTCTAACCGCTGCCATTCTGGACTCAAACGTCCGTGGTCGCAATTAGACCGTTCTCAGTCGTGCTCGTCAGCCAGCGCGGTGCTAGCCGCTTCTGGCCCGACTTTTTCTCCAGCCACTTTCAGCGCCTTCGGATGTCTTCCTGCAACTTCCTTGAAGCCCATCAAGTTCATCAGGGTCTCCTGCACCGTTACGGAAACGGCCTTCGTCCCGATGTTCGCCAAGTTCTCGTCCTTGCGCACCTTCTTGACCCTGAGGTCCTTGCGATTGACGTGGTGTTGTAGCCAGAGCAGGCCCGTGTCCAAACGGCGGACCGTGCCCAAGCCCACTCCAGATGCAATGCCTTTGCTTGCCGTGCTGTCCGTGTGCAGGTCTAGGGACACCTGGCCTCCCATGTCTCTCGGGGTTGGACAGACCTCCTACCCTGACACGTCGATTGAGGAATTGGCCGTTTTCGGTTCGCGAGAGGGCGTCGCGGCCGTTATTTTTGCGGGTCCAGATCCGTCGGTTTCGGTCCCAGGCCGTTTTCACTAAAGGGAGGTTTACTAAAGGGAGGTTTGTCCACCGCCGAGTCTCGAATCATCGACCTCATGCCGATGGCGGTGGAGCCGCCCTTCACCTGGGCAACAAACTCTGCCACGCCAGAGCTCAAGGCAGGGGCCGTCTGCGTCGCAGCCTGCACTCGCAGACAATGCGCGCCGTGCATGGTGACTACCAAGACACGCTCGTACGATCTGGATTGAGCCCAGTCGCTGTCCGTGTAGACGTCGATCCGGCCTGGCTGGTCCTGCAGAGGGAAATGTTGGATCTACCGGCCGTGCCCATGCAGGTACCTCAGGCATCTCTTCAAGCGTGCCCAAGACCCAACCGTCGGCTTAGCCATGAACCTCGCCAACCTGTTTGCGCTGAATCCGTACACCGGGACGTCTGCAGCAAGGTAGGCTAGCCTCATTCTTGCGGATCGGAACACTGTCGCCTGCCCTCGGCCTAAGGGCTCCTCATCGCGCATGTCCTCCAACCGCTTGCCGGCTGGTGTCGTCACGAACTTCGACTGGCCGTCGAAACCAACCAGGCCACCAAGTAAATCAACATGGCGTGGAGCAGGCTCCAGAGAAATCACCCGAGACGCATCGTTCAAGTCCACCAACCTGTTCAAGGTGGTAACGTGCTTGTCGTCTGCCTTGTCCCAGCCGAGCTTCGCACGTCTCTGTAGGATCATCACGCTCAGGAGGCCCTCTTCAAGATGGTCTGACCAATCATCGGGCCCCTCAAGCACTAGATCGTCCCCATGGCGCCACCCAGTGCTGTCTTCGGCAGCGCAGTAGTACAGGCAAGGTGATGACAGCCCCACCTCGTACTCGCGCCTGACGATCGCATCGTTGGAAAACTCGTCCCAGGCGTTTGCTGCACCCCGTGTCCCGTACAGGGTGCGCAGCAACTTGCCCACGAAGCCTGCCTGAGCGTCCTCCTCCTGCAGCCTGATGTACAGCTCACGGCGGCACTTCGGATGAAAATGCGCTCGAGAAACGTCAAGAACTAAGATCTTACGCTCTCCGGGGTTTCTGGTCGGGCCCATCCTGCGCGACTGGAACCGGGACAGCAAGTATTTCAACGACTCCAGTGGTGGAGTCGCGGCGAAAGTGTTCTCCATCGCCGGCGACTTCCACTTACACTCACGCCCGACGAATCTATCTCACGTCTGGTGCGTTCACGTCTCCTTTGTTGGTTATAGTCCACCTTGTCGACATGAACTCTTTGCCTTTGGCCATCGCCTCCGGCACCCTCTCATAGACAGGGAAAAGAACGAAGAAACTCAATTTCCTTGACTTTGGCCTCCCTGACTTCCTTCGGCCTCAGCCGTTCGCCCGTCAACTCGTCGAAGAACTGCTCGAGCCCGTCTTCGTCCCACTCCTGGGCGTCGTGGCTTGTCAGGCCCGGCTCCAGGGCGTTGATGCTGACCGCGCCGTCCTGCTGCAGCTGCCTGCGCAGACCTCGCAACATTGCCACCATGATGGCTGGCTTATTCTCCACGGTTGGACTCACGGTCCCTATGCTGCCGATGGCCTTCTCGCTGTCGGCGCCCTGGAGCTTCGTGAGCTCCTCGGCTTGGCCAGCCATCCTGAGGCCCTCCCAGCCTTGACATGCTGGACGCCCTCATGCCCCAGCAGATGGCTACCATCCTCCTCCTCTTTCTGTTTCTTCCCCTGCCCGTGGTGCTCGTGGCCAGGGGCGGGACCATTCGTGTGCTCGTGGAGGAAGTAGTGTCCGTCTTGCAACTGCTTGCGGTACAAGTTGCGATTGGCTCCAAAATGCGAATGCCCAATCACCAGTTCCGGGCGGACAGTGCCCTGGAGGCCTTCCGCCTGCTCCACGTGCGAGTGGTTCTCAAGATCCCAACCCGAAGTCAGGTCTAGTGCGACCCTGGGGTGGACTCCCCACCGGGACGCTTGGTTAGTGAACCGCTTCCTTGCAGAACACCTCCGACTCGATCACGACGACGTCGTCTTGATAGGCTGCCGGATCGCCTCCTGCAGCCGCGGCCCGATGGCCGTTCCTAGTTGCATCAGCTCGCCTACGATCTCCGCGACCTCGCGCCGCGCCCTCTGGGCAGCCCGATCGTGCGGACTACCCGCTGGGTCGTCCCCAGCTCCGACCTCGCCTCTCCGCAGTGCGGTGCTGCCCGCTGCCGCTCGAGGCGTGCTTGAGCCTGGCCCGGACTCTTGGATGGCACAGTGCTGCCCGCCTCCTGCGAATCCGGCTGGCTCCGCACGTTTGCCTGCGCGGAGCTGCCCGCTTCCGGCGCGTTCCTGCTCTGAGCGTCCGCCAGCGCGGGGCTACTCCAGATTTCGTAATAAAAAGGAGGGGGTCGCATTTCGGGGGGGGTCTCTTCCAGGCTATCTTGGAGGGTCTGGGGTGGTCTGGGGACGATGTTTTGGAGGGTTCTCCCACGAGGGGGGGTCTGAAATGGCTTGTCTTGGAGGGTCCAGACCCCCTCCCTTTTATTACGAAATCTGGAGTACCCGTTTCCGGCGCGCTCCCTAGCTGGTCCGACGGCGCGGGGCTGCCCGCTTCTGTCGGCACCTCTCCTGCGACCTCGCCTGGTCGTAGAACCTGTGCTCCTCCTGGTCGTCTGTCTGGTGGTGCTTCTGGCTCGCCTCGTCGACGGTGAGCTTCTTCGACTCGCTGTCGAACTTCGGACCTCTCGTCCGCCAGGATCGCCGCCTCGATCCTGTCATGACACTCGTGCGTGTGCAGACGCGCTGGTCGGCCCTCAAATGCTGCGGCACATCCAGGACAATTGTCAGAGAAACCGTACGCTCGAAGCTCCACCTCCCGACGACGATAAAATCTTCCCGGGATAACCTGCGGAGACCTGGCTTCGGAACTCGTGGGGGCAACTCCGCCTCAGGGACGATTGGTTCGGTGACCCTGAGGGGTTCGTAGTCGATGGTTTGCCCTCCTGGTTCCCCGGGTACTGGGTCCCAGGGGACCCCGACGATGGACTTCAAGAGCTCCGGGTCGCTGGACTGGATCTCCGGCAACCGCTTCACGCAGTTCACCTTGAAGACGCCGCGAGGCGTGCCTACGAGCAAACGTTGCTGCGCCCCACCAGCCCCAAGTAGATCCCGGTCTCCCACCTGTCCTCGAATTTTCGTCGCCGTCGTACCGCCGATATTGGCATGTACATTACGGCCTCTCCGAATGGGGACAGCTTCCGACGATAGGGCTTGCTTTTGCGTATCTCGTAGGCGGTCCTGTTGTCCTTGGCGGCACGCTGGGACCTATTCAGTAGCTGCCCTGCGTACTCCACGGCATAAATTCTGAGAGGGTGCTTGAGCGGCACCTGGACGCGATGATGCTCCAGGCATGCGTGCACTAGTGTGCGAGCCGTGCTCCGGACCTCGCGCTCGACAACAGCATTCTGCTGAGACTCGGACGTGCCGCTCTCCTCCAAGATAACGTCCGCAGGGCCAGCAACCTCCCGTAACTTCTTCACCACCTTCTGCTTGAACGACTTAATCGCAGGCTCCCCGTCGCTCTTGTAGGTGAACTTTGCGAAGCCTGCCTGCATCAAATCGTCCACTGGCTTTAACTGCAAACGTCTCTGGGCCCTTGCGTGGGACCACGCGTGCTGATACCCAACGGTCGCCGTAAAACTTGTGGACCAGAACTGGCAAGCACTTGTCGGTAGCCCTGACGCTCTCGACGGCGTCGTCCATGAAGCAGTAGTCGCAAACCACTCCCTGGACGCCCAAGTCGTCGGACGTCTTCAGCAGGTGTGGGTCCGCCTTACCCGTGCCAGCCACGCAGCTACAGCACCAAGCAGCATAGGGCATGTGATCGATCTCATGCCTTGCCTTCTCCTCCGGCGTCGGGAGGCTCGGTGCTATTATCGTTGGCACGCCGCCTCCACGAGTCCTGAAGATCTCGTGCTCGATGTGTTGCTCCTGCTGCTGCTGCTGCTCCGCCCCGGCCTCCTCCACAGGGCTGCTACTCTGCTCAGGGGCGGCACTGTTGCCGCCTGCCCCTTCTGAGCCCGACTCCAGGGGACTTGCGGACTCGCCGGCCCCCCGAAGGAGGGTGACGGTGGCAGGACGACCTCGGCGTCGATCTCAAAGTTTCCTCCTCGTCGTCTGATCTTGATCTCCTCGCCGGTCCTCGTGTGCTTGGCGTAGCACCGGCCGCCGCACTTGAAGTGCAAGTCGTCGCCGGCGTCCATCATCGAGCACATCGCCAGCAGATGCTTCCTCACTGGCACCACGTTCACGTTGGCGCTCCTCCCCGAACCTCCTATCTTCGAATCATACCGTTGTCGTCCAAGATTGGGAAGGCTAGGGGTTTCGCGATCACCTGGTCCAACATACTTGACACCCCTACGAGATTCAGGACTAGGGGGCCACATGCGATCCCTACCCCTGCCCCCCCACGATTTCTGAGGGGTAGGGTGGGGTTCACTTCGTTCGGGAGCTCCCGAGCGCAGTGAACCCCACCCTCCCCCTCAGAAATCGTGGGGGGCAGGGGTAGGGTTCGCATGTGGCCCCCTAAGGACTCTCCTCCGTGGCCACCTTCAGGACAAGCCCTGGGGGGCCACACCGTGACCTCCGCGCCGCTGTCCGAGCCCATGGTAACGTGGTTCGTCGTCTGGGCGTGGACCATTCAGGAGGGGAAAAAACACAGACACAATTAATCGCCGATTCCCCAGAAAATATAGGAAAGTATGCGAAGGGGGGGGGAAGACAACAACCCAGAAAATATGAGAAAATATGTGTGTCCTGGGGCCCCTTCAACCATGCCGACCTCCCGGGCCTCGGATACTTGGCACAGCTCCACGCTCCCACAGTCCTGGTCCTTCAGCGCGCCGATGCACAGGCTGAGCGCCCGCATCTGCTCCTCGATCGCAGCGATGTCCACTCTCTGCCTCTTTCTGCTCGTCTCTCGATCGTCTCCTCCTTTGCTGTCCTTTCCTCCTCCTTTGCTATCCTTTCCTTTGCCTTTTCCTCGTCCTTTCCCTTTGCCTTCCTTCTCTTTTCCTTTTCCTCCTCCTCGGCCGTTTCCAACGTTCGGCGGCGGCTTTCTCTCCGCATTCCATCAGCACTCTGCTTTCTTGTGGCCAGGCTTGCCACAGCAATAACACTCGCCTGTGTGCTCGGTGCGAAGCCGGGAGTCCCAGTTTGAAAAACATGTGTGCTTCATCCTTGGAACTACTCATTTTCAAGCGAAGGCGTTAGCATGGCGGGGCATTTCTGGCGAAACGCCCAGTTCTACCTGCCAGCACGTCTGCGGGCGCGACAGGGAGGAGTCCCTTATAAGAAGCAGGCTTGGAGGAGGAACAGGAGCAGGAGGAGGAGGAGGAGGAGGTCCCAGGAGGATCCAGGAGGCCTCGGAACCGCAAGGCGCATAATGGGCCAACAAAAGCCCCAACACGCCCCACAATTTCGACCAATGAGGGAGGAGGAGCAGCAGCAATTTCAAGGCTCCAAGGCCCGAAGGCATCCATGTCCACTGCCTCCCAGTGATTACGCCCCAGAGTCCAGACCGCGAGGGCGCGGGTACGGATATGTTCGCCGCTCGTGAAGCGGGGGCAACTTGCCTTCCCTCGCCACCAGGCACGAGAAGCCCGTCTGCCCTCTAACAGCGGAGCCCGATGCCCTACGCCAAGCCCCCGATATCGCGAGGGCCTCGCCACCGAGGCATTACTCAGCTCCCGCACGGAAGCCGAGTGCCTGAGGAGGAGGAGGAGGAGGAGGAGGAGGAGGAGGAGGAGTTGCAGGAGGAGGAGTAAGAGGAGAGGAACAGGAGGTGGAGGAGGAGGAGGAGGAGGAGGAGGTGTTGACGCTTTCATACGAGAGATTGACGATCTGTTCCCTGACCTCGGGGTCATGGAATTGTGACCCACTACTCCCTTGCCCCATTTCGGGCGTTCCACGTCCCCGCCGGCCCGTACCCATCGGTCGTTGAAAGGGGGGGGGTCTGGGATTTCCAGATCCTAATCTGCTTTAGGCGCCTTCCTAATTCAATCAACGAGTGCCTTTCCCTTTTCCTTCATCTTTAGGGTGGGGTCGGAAACAAATCTACTTCCAACGCCTTCCTACGTCATGTTTCTACCCACCTCTTCCGACCGACGGGTACTTGCTGAGTGCCACCACCCGC